AGCGTTGTGGAAAAAAAAATGTTTACAGACAGAAAGACGGACGGACGACGGACAAATAAACATCGCAAAACCAGAAGTCTCTGATGTGACTGTAGTTCTACTGGTTTGTAATTTAAACAAAGGAAGAGAAAATTAGTAGCGCTAACATTTGAAACAATGCAACAGCAATGAATAGAATCCTTGATTTAGTTTCTTTTTGTGACAAAATTTATTGCAATCAGACTAAAACTGTAGGGGAGTAGCCTTTTGCAAGAGTTTTACAGAAATTTCTAATCTCAATAACCATTACAACACCATTCATCGAAGTAAAACACTCACATACACACACAAAGAGAATTATGTATCTCGGTATAGCCGGTGTACTTGCATGCCAAGTCATATCAAAATCAGACCAAAACTGTAGGAGGAGTAACAATTTGAAAGTATTTCACATAAATTTCTATTTTTAGTAACCATGGCAACACCATTCATCGAAATCAAAAACAGTTAGAGTTACTATAGTATGTACCTTAGTGTAGTCTACTTGTGTGCCAAGTTATATTAAAATCAGACCAAAACTGTAAGAGGAGTAGCATTTTGAAAGTATTTCACAGAAAATTTCTATTTCTAGTAATCATGGCAACACCATTTATCGAAATCCAAAATAGATAAACAGAATTATGTATCTTAGTGTAGTCTACTTGTACGGCAAGTTAATATACTGAAATCAAACAAAATCTGTAGGAGTAGCGTTTTGAAAGTATTTCACAGAAAATTCTATTTTAGTAACCATGGCAATACCGTTGATTGAATTCAAAAACAGATCTGTAGAATTATGTATCTTAGTGTAGTCTACTTGTGTGCCAAGTTATATACTGAAATCAGATCAAAACTGTAAGAGGAGTAGCATTTTGAAAAATTGTTTGCAGACAGATGGACACCATAAATTACTATGGCATTTCTGGTCTCTGACCAGTAGAGCTAAAAGGGGCATAACTGACACTAAATTTAAAACACAAGTATACATGTATATATAGGCATCATGAATGGACAGAGAAACAAATTCCTAGAATGCAGTAACAGCAGCAGTAATGTAACAGCTCATCAAGGAATTCAAAGTCAGCCAGGTAAACAAGGAATTTAGTATTCCTACATACCACTCTACACAGGCCATTTTGATGGCAACTTAGATTCCTTAATTCCTCCAATAAAATGTACGTGCAGTAAATCATTTTTATATAAAACTACCTGCTTTTTTTGTTATCAATTTCACAAACACAATTTTTTTCAGAGAGTGTAAATGTAAAATCAGTATGCCACATGGTGAAAGACGAGAGGCCCAAGGGCACCTGAGTTTAACAGTGGCAGATCCAGAGTTCCTGAAAAAGGGGGGGGGGTTGACCAGTTGGGGATCGGGGTGAGGGCCCAGGGACCACACCAAAAAATTAATTCATTAAATCTCTTTTTTTTTTGGACACAAAAGGGGGACTGGGCCCCTCTAAAATACAACAATTTAGAGGATCCATAAAGTATAAAATATACTGAAAGGTGAAACTTTGTTGCCCAAGAGCAAGATACATGGGATGATCAGGATCAACGAAATAATTAGTCTAGTATTCAGTAACAACTCATAAAGTAAGTTCTCATCTGTCCCCCATTTATCACTATCACCAGACTATTAACAAACTATTAGTCAAAAAGTACTTTTTGTATTATACGGTAAAATTTCTTTCATATTTCTCTTATTCTATTCTTATTCTATTACTCTTTCAAATACAAATATTTAAAGTAATTAACTAATTATTAAGCGTGAATGGCAAAGGGGAATAGCTTCTCTCAGTAGAATACAAAAATTAATAGAGCCTTGGCCAGGACTAGAACACTTGACCAAATGGTCCAGATGTTCAAAAATCTGGTAAAAATACCCTTGCTTATTAAAACTTTTACACTGTTAGCCTCCAATATGCCCAGGAGCAGAGAAGATTTTCAAAGAAATAATGCATTTTCACTACAGATTCAACACAGCCACAACCCAGGATCATGAAATTCAGAAATTTGACAGAGGCACCCTTGCTCATCATAACTATGTACTTAGTCTGTTTAATACCCAGGAGAGAAGATGATTTTGAAAGAATTAATGCATTTTCATTATATTATCAAGAGCCCCTTTCCTAACACCAGAACCCCTGACCCAGGGGCCATGGAATTCACAATTTTGGAAGAGGCACCCTTGCTCATCATAACAATGTACTTAGTTAATTTGTTTAATCCCAGGAGCAGAAAAGAAAATTTTCAAAGAAATAATGCACTTTCACTATATGATCTATATAGCTCCACCCTAGCACAGGAACCCCTGAGCCTAGGGCCATGAAATTCACAATTTTGGTAGAGGACTCGATGCTTATTACAATAATGACAGCAGTTCAACTGCTTGATGTCCAGGAGTAAAGAAGAATTTTTTTATGTAGAACTTATATGTTCATTATCCTGAAATCAAGGAAAAAACACCTCTTATTTGTAAGAATTCATCAGACCCCCATCAGGGCTTTGCACTGGACCCACTGGGGCTTCAATACAGCCCCCAGGCCTTCTACTGCCCCCCCTCCCCCCCCCATTATAAAATTCCTGGATCCGCCACTGATAAATGCCTATATTCCAGCAGTACCATATGATAATGAACTGTAACAAATAACCCTGCTTAAGATTCTTTATTTTAGTTAACTTTTATGTACACATCACAAAAATACAGAACATTAGTATATAAGGTGGGAAAAAACAATAACCTTCTCCTTGATATCTTACAGGTATATATATACATATATATATATATATATATATATATATATATATATATATATATATATATATATATATATATATATATATATATATATAATCCTTTCTGCTACAACTGAAAATTTGGAATTTTATACCAAGAACGATTTCAATATACAAAATGTAACAAGTTGTTGCAAATATAACAGTACTGTATTACAAAAAATTCAGTTATCTTTCTTTCATTTCTTTTAAAAATAATTTACAGCATTTTCAACTTAAAAAAGGAAAACTTTAACATAAAACAGTTATTAATCAAGCGAAAATCAATTCTATGCAGAGTTATAATTACTCAAAGTTGTAGTAGAACTGATATATTTTTTTTTTATATAAAGCAAGACCCTGTTTTACAAAAAGACTTTACCATTATGACTGAAAAATCACACTTGCTTCTAAAATTTCCCTACTTAATAATGTTGTGAAAACATACAGCTGCACATGTCTAAAATAAAATCAATTCTTTTTTTTTTTTTTTTTCCATAAAATCATGTATAGGACACATTTTTGGTTTTATTATGGGTTTTTTTTTCCACAAAAATAAACCCAAAAGATTGAGAATACCAAAACATGTAGGCAACGTACACCCTTATGCATGTCTTATGATGGTGCTAGGGTAAATGATGAAATGTTAAACAAAGAAGACACAAAAATCCACAACCTTAAAGCTCTCTTTACAGTGTACCATGGCTTCTCTTCCTAGTGTGCATACAGTTACATCCAGCAAATACAGTTACATCCAGCAAATGATAATTTACAGACTTGACAATGACACAAAATGTGAACATCCATCCATATAATATTCAAAAATTAAGTTTTGAATTTTCCTTCAAATTATCTCCCCTCCCACTTTGATCTCTCTTCTTCTTCTAAAACAAAAAATCTCAAACACTATTCAAACTTAAATATATGAAGAATATAAGAATATGAAAGAATTTGGCAGTTCAAAATGAAATAAAATTATTTCACAATACTGAAAACTATAACACACTTAGAACATTTTGAATACTGCTAAAAGATATATTGCTAGGGGTTAAAAATATAGATGAAACATGAAGGATTGTTATTAATGATTTATGGATTTGAATCATTTAGCTGTGGAAAGGGACATCTGCACCAACAATGGAGAACTTCTGCACCAATAATTTGCACAAAGTTGCAATTTTCTATTTAACTGCTTGGAGCTTACCTTGAAAACATCTATTGGTCAAAACATTTTTACTGAAGAATAAATTACACAATTTTTTTCTTCAAAAACTTCAAATAATTTGCTTTAATAGTGACTGACTCTCTATAGAAGTGATATCTGTTTTGTTTAAACTTTATGTTTGACCAAGCCACATAATTTGAAGGGGGAAAATATAACCTTACAATTTAATCTAATCTTTGAAAAGTTTTAGAATTTGAAGTACAAGTATGTGAAGTTTTGTTTCTTAAAGTTTCTGGGAACATTTTCAAGAGCCTATATTTACATTAAAATTTCTTATTGGATTTCAACTGCATGAAATATCTTTTTTAAAAAAAAGAAAAAAAAGCGCCATTTTTTGTGTACTTATTCTTAATTAGCACAGGCTTTAGATTCTAGGAGTGATTTTTTTTCAATACCATTGGCTGCTTTTTTTAAAAACAAAATTTAACAACTTCTTACAAAATGCCAACTCTGAAAATACATGTGTTTTTAATATTAAATTCACGTGCAAGTTTAATGGCTTCATGCAAATGTCCTCTTTACCCCCGCTCAAATGTCCTATACAAAATGTCCTGATACAAGTCAGTTTTCCAAAGAATCCTTCAATCTTTGAGCTTTTTTTTTCCTTTTATTAATTAACAAAATTATGTAATGATATTCTAATCAACAAAATGAAAATAATTCATTAAAGCAGGACTAGAAAGGGGGATATATTTGCACACTACCATTATTGCATTTTTGTTAATAGCTATTAAATTAGCAAAATTGTAATTACCAATAATAAAAGACTTTTTGATCCCCAATATGTTTTTTTTTTTTGGATGACTACTTTCTACTTCTGGACGGCTTGTCACAAGAATGTATAAAAAAAAAATTATGAATAGAAAAATAAAAACAATATCATAATATTCTAACTCATATCTAAGCAAAGAAAGAATGCAATTAAAACTAATGTTATATAATAAATTCTGTGCTTTTTGACTTTCCATTATTTGTGCATTTTAAATTTGTTTATGAGTACTTTTATCTTCTAAAACAGCAAAAAACCATTTCCATAAAATATATTACTTCTATAAACTTAGAAAAAAAAGTTTTGCTATATTTATAAACTACATGTATCTCTATTTTTTTTTTTCCAAATCACAAATTATACAAAATACATTGTTCAAAGAGGATACACATGAAAACATGAAACAATTTACTCTGCACAAAACCTTTCTTGTATGGAATGTCAAGAGACAATATAAACTATACAAATTACTGGCAAATAACAAACTAATATCAGAGACGATAAACTACAAAACTGTGAAAAATATAACGCAAAGAGACACAACATATATCATCAAACATTTGCCCTCAAAGATAATTTACTCTGCTTGAGTTTGTAAATATAATTGCTCATTCATAACTGATTGCATTTGTTCAGTGCACTTTTTCCAGAGAGTGCTTGGAAAGGGAGTTTCGTGTAAATGCAAAAGACTCATGAAGCCACAATGCTCACCTTCGTCTCCTTGGCCCTACTTTCATCAGATTTTCATCAGATTTTTGAAAAATAAAAATTCCCTTTTTATTTCCCTTGAGAAATGTTTCCGAATACCTAGCCCCAAGACGTTATGATGTAATTTTCTTGATAATCTCCCTTTCAAGCGAATATGGCTCTTCAGTTGAAGAAACTTGAATTCCCTTCATCTAAGGATGCTTTGTGGCACGTTTGGTTGAAATTGGCCCAGTAGTTCTGGAGAAGAGGTCAAAATGCAAAAAGTTAACAGATGGACAGACAGACAACAGATAACCAGAAAAGCTCACTGAATACTTTTGTTCAGGTGAGGTAAAAATTACTCTGTGCTAACAACATAAAAACAGATAAAGGTTTCAAATTGTTAACTTATACAGTTGTTGAACACTCAAATAGTTTCATATAATACTGGGTATTTCACAAGACAATGTATATTAGAATAATCACTTCCATACTCAACATCACACATAAGTAATGCCACATCCAGTGTACTACACAGTCACTATATTACATGTTCATGTTTGTATGTGTAATATCATTGACTTAAACATGTGATTTCTGAAAAAACTGAACAGCACAATAGAAACACAAAGAAAACACAGTGAACAATAACAAAATATGTAACATACATAGATTTGCATAAAACTCCTAGAATTGTCTTAACAGTTAAAAAAAAGAGAACTTTTGAGATAAAAAAAAATTCCTTCTCTTCTAAATTTCAAAGTTTTCAAACAATTATCAATAAGTTTGATTAGAAAATAATACTACATTGATAATGATTAAGGTTGTCAAAGGACATTTCAGAAACCTTTAAACTTTTGTGACCTAGCTACAATGGTGAAACACACACAAAAATCCCAAAGCATTGTGACCTTACTTATAATGCAATAATAAACAAATAACAAGATAATAGAGTACTATCATGCATTGCCTGTTTTTAATCAGAAAATGCAAACAAACAAGTTCTACACAATGCAAGCCACCTAAAATGTATTTCCTTGTTATAAATTATGAGTACAAAATGAGTAACATTCCTTGACATTTTATTTCACAAAAAGATATTGTTAGTGCACATCCTTGATAACAAATGCATGATATGCTTTTATACAGAAAACTGACATGCTAGGCCTATTGGCTAAATATGTTAAATATCTCTACTTCAAAACATTGATCAGTCAAACAGTAAGTATTGAAAAGCGTCATTAAAACATAACGATATTCATCAATACTAGAAATAACAAAACAATGTCTAAATGTTTTCATATATGCATGTTTTTTTTCGGAATTAGAAAATTTTAAAAACAAGAAAGAAAAATAGCAGCAGAACCTCGGTATTACTCTGTTGTCAATGGTTTACGAAATTTGTGTCATGAAGACTCTTGATCTCTATCACTGACTTTACAGGTGCTTGTTATTAAGGGGGTTTGTTCATGTTGTTCTGGGTGGCCTTCATTGTCAGATTTTGCATCCTCCCATCCCAAACTATCACCGCTGTCTCCAGAACTTACTTTGGGCTCCAGACACTGAAGGGCTAAATCATTCTCATTAGGTTCTGTAGCAGACCTTTCCCTAGTTTCAATCTTATCCGGGTCACCTGACACGTTGTGGATGATAATTCCTCCATCTGTTGAATTGTGGACTCTCCATTCACCAGACTCAGTTCTGGTTTGTATCTGATTGGTGAATGGAACAGATAAACTAGAAGCCCTCCTCATTTTATCCGGATTACGACTGTTGTTAAGATGGTGGTTGTCATTATTAGACAGGTTGGACAAGATTTTTGCCTTGTGCCACTCTTTGGCAAAGGCTTCATCCTCACTCTTGACATTGGCTTTGCCCATCATGGTTGCCCGTCTAGCTGCAATATACTGAGCACGCCTTACTCTGACAAATAGTAGGTTTGACTCCACCCTGACTGAGAAATCTGGTATGTAGGGCTCTACCTTACTATACAGGCTCTCAGTACTGCTTGGGTAAATCAGAGAGTTGTCAGTGATCTCTGAAAAACACACAAAAAAAATATATTATTTAAGACTTAGTTAATAATACTTATTACATGTATAATAAACAATTTATATAAGCTTTATTTGGTAATAACATATCATTCTGAAATATTTCACAAAACAGCACCATTAGACATTTGTTCAGTTATAAATAAAAAAAAAAAATTACTGAATACAGGGAAATTTTCGTCCCCGTTTTATTTTCACCCTTTTTCGCCCTACCCTCAGTTCAGGGATCGACATTAATGGTTGTCCGATTGCCCGGGACAAGTAAATTCCCAGTTGGGGCAAGTGAAATTGTTGACGTACTTGTCCGATCGGGCAAGTGAATTGTTCTCATACATTTTAATGTACATATTGATTTAGTTTACATTAATTAATAAATAAAACAATAAATTGAACACTTGATTTCCGTCACGCACCTGAATGACAATGTTTTTGCATTCGAAATTCCCTTGAAGCGTTTCTGGATTATACCGTTCATTTAAAAATCGGGTTCGTTATTTTCTTTCATAATAAATATGCTCTATGTCTAACAAAATTTTATTAATTTCTTATTATGAAATTAGATTATTTATTTACGCACAGAATATATAACTATTAAGTACAGTATGACACGATGTATCCTGATCAAGATAAGATGTATGTTTCGTAGCAACTATCTTCATTAAGCGTTGCTTCACAGTTATCTCTGAAAATCACGAATCACAAAAGGATCCTACCGAAAATAATTTTTTAACAAGAGGCCCAAGGGCCTTAACGGTCACCTGAGTAGAATACAACAATTTAGAGGATCCATAGAGTATTAAAATGAAATGAAAGGTGAAGCTTTGTTGCCCAAAAGCAAGAAAAATAGGGTGATCAGGATCAACAAAATAATTAGTCTACTATTCATTAACAGTTCATAGATTAGGTTCTAATCTGTTCCCCATTTATCACTATCACCATACAGTATATTAACAAACTGTCAGTGCTTTTGTACTATTTTAATTCCTTGTTGTAATCTCTTACATTGGCCTCTCTTGGTCTTTGATGAACATTTAATAAGACAAGTTATTTTTGTCTCATTTTTATTTATCTATTACTTACAAGTCCACATGATCATTAAAACTATGAAAATACTTTTTGTATTATACAATAAAAATTCTTGCATAATTCTCTTATTCTATTAATTTTTCAAGTACATTATTTACAATGATTAATTATCAAAAGTAAACGGCAAAGGGGAATAACTCCTCTCAGTAGAATGCAAATTAATTGAGCCCTGGCTAGGACCAGAACACTTGACCAAATGGTCCATATGTTCAAAAATCTGGTAAAAATACCCTACCTTATTACAACTGTTAATGATATGCCCAAGTGCAGAGAAGATTTTTAAAGAAATAATGCATTTTCACTACAGATTCACTATATTATCAATAGAGCCCCTCCCCCCCCCCCCCCCCCCCCCCCTTCACCACTGAGAAACACCAGAGCCTCTCACCCTGGGACCAGAAGTTTCAAGTTTGCTCATCATAAGTTATCACTTTGTTTAACTGCTTAACATTAAGGAGCAGACAGGATTATTTAATAGAATTAATGCATTTTCACTACATTATCAACAGCCCCACCCTTATACCAGCACATCTGACCCAGGGGTCATGCAATTCACTACTCTGAAAGAAGCACTCTTGCTCATCATAACTATATACTTAGCTTCTTTGCTTTTTAACCAGAAGCAGAAAAGAATATTTTCAAAGAAATTTTGATTTTTCACTATATAATCAATAGAGCCCCCCCCCCCCACCTTTTGACCAGGACCCTTGACCCTGGGGCCATGAAATTCACAATTTTAGAAGAGGCATCCTTGCATATCATAACAATGTACATAGTTTGTTTAAATAGTACCCAGGGGCAGAGAAGAAGATTTTCAAAGAAATAATTCACCTTCACTGTAGGAGCTATATAGCCCCACCCTAGCACAAGAACCCCTGTCCCTGGGGCTATGACTTTCACAATTTTGGAAGAGGTGTCCTTGCTTATCATAATAATGTACTTAGTTTGTTTAAATAATACCCAGAAGCAGAGAAGAAGATTTTTAAAGCATTAATGCATTTTCACTATATAATAAATAGAGCCCCGCCCTAACATCAGAACCCCTGACCCAGGGGCCATGAAATTCACAATTTTGGTAGAGTCACTCTTGCTTATCATAACTATGTATTTAATTTGTTTCAATAATACCAAGGAGTAGAGAAGAAGATTTTCAAAGAAATAATGCACTTTCACTATATGATCTATAGAGCCCCCCCCCCCCCCCAGCACCAGAACCCCTGACCCTGGGGCCATGAATTTCACAATTTTGGTAGAGTCACCCTTGCTTATCATAACTATGTATTCAATTTGTTTCAATAATACCCAGGAGTAGAGAAGAAGATTTTCAAAGAAATAATGCACTTTCACTATATGATCTATATAGCCCCGCCCTAGCACCAGAACCCCTGACCCTGGGGCCATGAATTTCACAAATTTGGTAGAGGGCTCAATGCTTATTACAATCATGTCAACAGTTTGACTGCTTGATGTCCAGGAGCAAAGAAGAAGATTTTTAAAGATTGCATTAATTTTGATGGTTTTAGCCCCACCCCTCAGGCCCCAGGGGGGCAGGGACCATGAAATTCACAAATTTTGTTCCCCTTCACACATAGATGCCACATGCAAAAATTGGCTGAAATTGGTTCAGCGGTTTCAGAGAAGAAGCTGAAAATGTTCAAATGTTAACACACGACGCACGACGGACGACGACGGACGAAAACAGATAGCAATAGGTCACCTGAGTGACTCAGGTGACCTAAAAATATGAATTTTATTAAAAGGAAATGGAGGGTTAATGCTGCATTGCAGTACGTGTTAACAGGTTAAATTTTACAAGTACAGCGGTATACATTTATGCACAAATACAGCATCGAAATTTTTTTTCAGGTAGCTCAACTTGCCAAATTGACAGTTGTGTATTTGGTCACATTTTTTCTTATCATAATGTCTACAGAAATTGATAATTTTCTTCTTAATTTCTTTCCTTATTTTGGGCAACCAAGTTTAGCATTCGGACAAGTCAAAGTATAAGATCACTTACCCGAAGGGCAAGTGGATCTGAAACTTAATGTCTATCCCTGGAGTTGGGTGAATTTAAAATGGGGCGAATTCAAAGAATACAGTACAATTTCTTAAACAGAACTGTGACTTGACGAATTTAAGATGGAGTAAAATGAAGTGGGGCGAAAATAACCCTGTATACAGTAATTGAAAGATGTTTTATTAATTTTGGAAATTTCCTGAAATACATTTAATACTATATATTCAGACAAATATCCTTAAAACAATACACATACTCAATGCTTGACTGCCATAATAAGAGAATGCTCCAGTGACAAACCGCAGTCCTTCTTTACCGACAGTCACCTCTACATTACCTGCAAATCATAAACAATAAATTACATCATTTACATAAACTTACTACATGTATATTCTCCAACACAAACTGTTATTAAGTATATTCTCATATAAAATAACAAGAGGCTTGTGTGCCTTAATGATCACATGAGTGTCACACAATTTTTTCCCCAATCTTTCATTTCGAGGAAAGAAGATGGGCGTGTTTGGCGTGTGCTCTGCAGGAATCATGTGTACGAAACATTTATAGTTTAAATGTCCAGGATTTGGTTGGCTGACCACAGCTGGACAGGCTTTACATTAAGCTACGCACATAAGAAAATGTTATATTTAGTATGAAATAACATGTCATATTGTAATATTTAGGTCCGCTTATCTTAATAATCAAACTTTAAGATAGTAATGCTTCACATAAATAATAAACACCTACAAGATAGTAAGGGTATAGTTAAATGCAATTACAAGTACATGTGTATATTAAAGTATTACATGTAGTAGGTTGGAAGAATTGCTTTTGCTCTTGATGCAACAGAACCAGAATATATCCATTTTAAAATAAATCAGGACAAAAATATTAAACTGACAAAAGAATTGATTGCTTTCATTAAAAAAATATTAACGCTCCATGCGAGGATCGAACCAAAAAAGTTTCCGACTCCATTTGCATTGAACGGGTAACGCATATTACTGAGAACAGGGAATTATTTAATCTTAGACTAATTATAAATCCTGGATTTTCAAAAAATTTTGAAATCAGGTGTAGTGCCTGAAAACTAACTTAGTTTTGCTTGAAATATCAGTTTTCACTGTAGTAGATACTGTCTAAATGGGTAAGTGTGTATATAAGAAGCTAATATAATTGAATTATTGTTTATTTTTATTCATTCATGTTTTTATTGTGTTCCAATTTCATATTTTTATTGTTTATTTTCAGTCATAATTATTATTTCTAGGGTAAGTGTCTTTTATGCAGTGTATCTGGTGTTCTAGTATTGTATCTGTAGAAAATGACGCATGCGCAGATGGGGGTTAGTCGATGCCTGGCATCAAAAAACGACTAACCCCCATCTGCGCATGCATCATTATTTTCTCGCTAAATTCTGCATTTTTTTGCAATCAAACGGCGATATTAAAATAATCCATCGATTGTCCGTCATTAAATTATCCTACGACTCAACTATTATCGCAAAACGTTCCTTCCGAGTTGTAGATATCCATTAAACATTGCCAACAACGCACGGCTTCATAGTCCCCATGAATGCAGACCCGACTGAAGAAATGACACGCAGCAAACGAAAATACATACCGATGCGTATTCAGCACGACAACTGCTAACACCTACATATGTTTTCACAACCGTAACAACTTTTAAATCCCACGAAACGCCCAGAAAAACGCAGCGATGTAAACACTACCAAATTTACAGCAGCTTCCTAATGCAGACAACCACTACTCGACGTCACAGTCGTAAAATACGACGTCACAGGTACACTGTTTTCCCGAACTTTTCTAAAGCAAAATGGCGATTAAGCATTGTACGTAATATAAGGCATACTGTCTTTGTTGTTCAGCACACGTACTTTTAATTGTTTGCAAAAAGCTTTCACGGCTACACATACAATTTGGCTTTTAAAACGACAATAAAGCACCGCATTTACACATTGGAATTTTTTTGGAAAAAGTTAATTTTTTATGGTCTCTGGGTATTCTCTCCATTTTTTACAAATGATTGTTTGTTTCTTTGAATTAAAATTCATACAAATAACGTTTGAAAATCATGGAGAGATGACCCAGAGATAGCAAATTTTTAGAAAAACGTGTTTCAAAATGTGACATTTTGTACCAAATGAATCATCTAGCCTATTTTCAAGTCATTTTTTAGCAAATCAAAATTCAATTTTGGGAAAATATTTCCCTTTCCTATTTCACAGGAACCCAAATGATCAAAAGAGTGCTAAAATTTCGTTTGATAGATCAATGAAATTTTCACTTTTCAAGTGCGCCCAGATTCCTGCCGAATGCCAATCAAAAGAGCCCTCGTTCTTTGCTCAGAATATACAAATTGTATCCCTACAAAACGTCCAGGAAAAGACAAATATTTCCTACAGTTTATTAATTTTTAGAGCATATGATCAACATCAACTTAATTTCACCTGTGAACCTCTAGAGATGTACATTTCTTAATATTTAATAGACAGCATATTACTGAAACTTTACCATTTAGTTGACAAGGAAAAAAGTAATGGAGTATCCTGGTCTTTTTTTTATTTTAATAATGAAGTCAAAGATAGATAACTCCTCAATCCTACCTTGCAGAAGCAGTATAAAGTAATCACAGGGCACATTCTCCCTGAACAGGTATTGATCAGAGTTCTCTTTCTTGACAATCTCTTCAACAACATTTTGACGAATCAGTTTCTTCAACACATTCTCTGACACAAATTCTTCTTTGAACAGTTCAACAGCTGAAATACATACATCACAAATTGAAAAAAAATCAAAGTATATATAAGTTTATTCAGCCACCATGATGAAACAATACATTCTACTTTTTTATTTAATATTTTTTTTCATTATTGAATCATGGATATTCCAGTTTAAATTTTGAAATTTGCCCTTTTTTCTATCAATTTGCTTGTAAAGAATCTAGGAATGCAAAGTAACTCTTAGAGACAGTAATTATACATATATGATTATTCCCCTTACAAGTTGACAAGAATCTGAATGCAGCCAAGGCCAGCTGAGGAGAAATAAGTATAGAGTTGGTCTCCGATGTGTTGAACACACTGAAGTCTTGCTTCGCCAAAGTCCTTCTGGTCTTCTTCCTGTTGTCAACTAATACAACACAACAGAATAATATAATTTTATCTATGAATTTATAAATACTGTTTGTCCAAAACAAGTATACTGTATACGTGGAATTTTTAGCAAGATGCAAAAGAGATTTTTCGTAAAAAGTCTATATTTTATTTTAGCGAGAGGTAATTTTAGCGATTTTGTGATACCTAGAAAGATAAGGATAACCTCCAATGAGGAATGAATTGTTAGCAATATTAAATTTTAGTGATCTCAGCAACTTCGCCAAAAATGCCAAAATTGAATCCTTGCTAAAATTTCTGCTTATTACAGTATTTCATGTGTATACGTTATCTGGTTGCTCAGTCTGTGCTTAAAATGGCCAAGAGTATTAGAGTATAATTTTCCTAAACTATTCTTATGATTTTTTTAATTTTCTCCTTTCAATTTTAACTTTACAAACATAAAACTGTCCAAAACCAATGCTTTTTACTGCAATTGATTCTTAACTCCCTATGTACACTGAAATTTTTTTAATGACATTCCTGCATCGAAGCAACCACACAATACTGAGTCATCGCTATTCATGTTTTTCAAGTAATAAAATGTGTATCCCCATTGATTTCCAGTTAACAAGAAGTAGTCGCTATTGGAATCGATTCTCTGTCATGATGCCGGCCCAGGTATTGATCGATCACACATCGGACAATAGTATCCACTCATTAAAATACAAATATAAGTTATTAATTTCATATCAGATTCTATCATAATATGGGAAGCTTAATGATGTCAAAAACCTTATATAATAAAAAATATTAACAATACCAACAACAGAATACAATGTCACCCTGTACTTTACTTCTATAACGTATGTGTTGAAGCAGTTCATTCCTGCAGAGGCAATTTCTCAAAACCAGTAATTACTTTACAAAACCTGCCAAGAAACTTATCCACAATCATCCTAATGGGACTCAATTAGTATCAGCCATAAGGCACACAATAAATGAGATACCTTTCAAATGTGTTAGCATTGACCTAGCATTTATTTCAATTACAGTGATGAACTGTATACCCCTTATATTTATTACAACATACTTCATTGTGACTTTATTTTTTAAACATAGGTAATCAGAGATTACAGAGCTCACCTCAACGAATGTTGCTTTTAAGTAAGGTCAAGTCCCACACTAAACTAATAATCTAGGAGTGTGCATCCCTAGTGGGCTTGCAGTTACTTGGGAATAGACTTACCTGAAAACTTAAAACTAGTCACTCATCCAGAAAATGTAAGTCAAATCCAGCATCCGAAGCAAGTTTTGAGATTGTTCGTCCCTTGATGCATCATCCATGCAAGTTTTGATCAGATAGGCCTTATAGTTACTTGGAAATGAGATCTGCTCCAAAAATTTTAATCTGGTTACTCATCCGGAAAATGTAGGTCAGATCCAGCATCCGAAGCAAGTCCAGTAGTGTGAATCCTTAGATGTATCATCCATGCAAGTTTGGTCAATATAGGGCTTATAGTTACTTGGAAATAAGATCTGCTCCAAAAACTTTAACCTGGTCACTCTTCCAGAAAATATAGGTCAGAATCAAGCATCCGAAGCAAGTCCAGTAGTGTACATCCTTAGATGTATCATCCATGCAAGTTTGGTCAATATAGGGTTTATAGATACTTGGAAATGAGATCTGCTCCAAAAACCTTAACCTGGTCACTCATCCGGAAAATATAGGTCAGATCCAGCATCCGAAGCAAGTCCAGTAGTGTGCATCCTTAAACGTATCATCCATGCAAGTTTGGTCAATATAGGGCTTTTAGTTACTTGGAAATGAGATCTGCTCCAAAAACCTTAACCTGGTCACTCATCCGGAAAATATAGGTCAGATCCAGCATCCGAAGCAAGTCCAGTAGTGTGCATCCTTAGATGTATCATCCATGCAAGTTTGGTCAATATTGGGCTTATAGTTACTTGGAAATGAGATCTGCTCCAAAAACCTTAACCTGGTCACTCATCCGGAAAATGTAGTTCAGATCCAGCATCCGAAGCAAGTTCAGTAGTGTGCATCCTTAGATGTATCATCCATGCAAGTTTGGTCATTATTGGGCTTATAGTTACTTGGAAATGAGATCTGCTCCAAAAACCTTAACCTGGTCACTCATCCGGAAAATGTAGGTCAGATCCAGCATCCGAAGCAAATTCAGTAGTGTGCATCCTTAGATATATCATCCATGCAAGTTTGGTCAATATAGGGCTTACAGTTACTTGGAAATGAGACCTGCTCCAAAAACTTTGACCTGCTCCAAAAACTTTAACCTGCTCCAAAAACATTAACCTCGTCATTCTTTAGCTGAAATTGCACCATCTGAAACCTTGACTGGTACAATGAAACACACTAGAAGCATCCTCCATGCATCTCTGACTAATATAGGCCATAGAAGTACTTGAAAAGAAAACTGCTCCAAAAACCTTAACCTGGGACGCCGACGGTATTACATAAGCTCCCCCAACTTCGTTGAGGTGAGCTAAAAAGGCAATAGCATTGCAATCATTAGCAAAGCATGACTTTAGCATATCATCCAAACAATAAATAACTGAAATAACTTATTCTTATTGTTGATTTTTTTTCTAATCATTACAAGACGATTTCCTGATATATATTCAAGTATGATTAGAATTCAGGTTTATCTGGTTTAGATGATATCTTATTCTTAAGAATAACAATGTGACTAGAATGAGAATGAGAGTTTTGGGGGAAAATATGGAAGGTATTTCATTCTCCAAAGTCTAAGGAGAAAAAAACATCAAAGAATTATGCACTTTTCTAAAACTGTGACATGATATTAAGTCTCCTCCAAAGAAAAATATTGTTTGTATCATCTGTCCTTAAGGTAAGAAATTCTAATTATAAATAAACAAGAGGCCCATGGGCCACAACGCTCACCTGAGTCAATATGGCCCTGTTGTTCTTCATCAGCAGATTTCTTCTCTTATATATTCATATAAAGCTTTGATGGCCTGTTCTAAGCATACCCTACCCCCAGGTGCCATGTTTTGAATGAAATTGAATATAAACCTTCTGAGGATGCTGCTATATTCAGATAACTAATCATGGTTTTGCTGTTCTTTAAAACAGAATTTTAAAGATGTCTGACACCCTACCCTGGGGGGGGGGGGGGGGGGGGTCATGATTTGAACAAACTTGAATGTACACTACCTGAGGATGCTTCCAAATCAATATGACTAATCAAGACTTTGTTGTTCTTAAGAAGAAGATTTTTAAAGATATTTCCTATATATTTTCTTTCATAAAACTTTGATCCACCATTATGGCCCCACCCTACTACTGGAGGATGCATTGAACAAACTTGAATCTGCAATACTTGGGGATGCTTCCATATCAATATGACTAATCATGGCTTTCCTGTTCTTGAAAAGATCTTTAAAAATTTTTCCTATATATTCCTATGTAAAACTTTGATCCCCCATTGTAGCCCCACCCTACCCTCGGGGGTCATGATTTGAACAAACTTGAATCTACACTACCTGAGGATGATTCCATATCAATATGACTAATTCTGGCTTTGTTGTTCTTTAGAAGAAGATTTTTCAGAATTTTTTCTATATGTATTCCTATGTAAAACTTTGATCCCCCATTGTGGCCCTGCCCTACCCCTGGGGGTCATTATTTGAACAAACTTGAATGTACACTACCTGAGGATGATTCCATATCAATATGACTAATTGTGGCTTTGTTGTTCTCAACAAGAAGATTTTCAAAGAATTTTCCTATATATTCCTATGTAAAAATTTGATCCTCCATTGTGGCCCCACCCTACCCCCGGGGGTCATGATTTGAACAAAATTGAATCAACACTACCTGAGGATGATTCCATATCAATATGACTAATTCTGGCTTTGTTGTTCTTTAGAAGAAGATTTTTCAGATTTTTTTCTATATATATTCCTATGTAAAACTTTGATCCTCCATTGTGGCCCCACCCTACCCCTGGGGGTCATGATTTGAACAAACTTGAATCTACACTACCTGAGGATGATTCCATATCAATATGACTTATTGTGGCTTTGTTGTTCTTGAGAAGAAGATTTTCAAAGAATTTTCCTATATATTCCTATGTAAAAATTTGATCCCCCATTGAGGCCCCGCCCTACCCCCGGGGGTCATGATTTGAACAAAATTGAATCAATACTACCTGAGGATGATTTCATATCAATATGACTAATTGTGGCTTTGTTGTTTTTGAGAAGAAGATTATTAAAGAATTTTCCTATATATTCCTATGTAAAACTTTGATACCCCATTGTGGCCCCACCCTACCCCCTGGGGTCATGATTTGAACAAACTTGAATCTACACTATGTAATGAAGGTTTCACATAAGTTTCAACTTTTCTGGCCCAATGGTTCTTGAGAAGAAGATTTTTAAAAGATGACACCAAATTTTCACCAATTCTTAATTATCTCCCCTTGGAATAGGGCATGGCCCTTCATTTGAACAAACTTGAACCCCCTTCACCCAACGATGCTTTGTGGCAAGTTTGGTTCAAATTGGCCCAGTGGTTCTTGAGAAGAAGTCAAAAATGTGAAAAGTTTACAGACGGACGGACAGACAGACGGACTACAGACAAAATGTGATCAGAAAAGCTCACTTGAGCTTTCAGCTCAGGTGAGCTAAAAAAAATTATAAAAGATAGGAAGGCATTTCAAATATATTGAACTTTACCATAACCTTTAAGATCTGTTAATTCTTATACTGTGTGAAAAATGTACTGTGGATTTGCAGGAATGCATGTTTCAAAAGTAGTTTTATTGGCAGATACCTTGGTAATCAGCACTGGAGAAGTTTGATTGTAACCATGCAGCTCTGTTTTAGGCTGATCGTTTTAGGGAATTTTGTGTACATAAAATGTAATACATGTAATATGTATAGAGTATCTGAGAATCTGAAACCCTGAACTGACCAAGATTACAGGAGTAAGCTATCTGAACTTTCAGTCTGCATCCTTTCCATGTGAATAACTAGTTTCATTAATAAATTTTAAATATGTGTACTTTCAGTTACATAGCCTCCATGATAAAAAAAAATTATTATATCATTCCTGCCCATTAATTTTATAACATAGGTGACATCAAGACATTTGTTGCTTTAAACAACCTATGAAATTGCTAATGCCCTAAGGAAATAGAAAAATATATATTATGCAAAGTCTAATACAACCTTGATGTAATGAAGACTGAACATCCACTAAAAACAAGCATTTAAAGAGTATTGCATATACTAGTCCCCTACTGACAAATGTAATTAGGTTCTTCTTAAGAATTAAAATGGCTGCAATTCAATAAAAAAATCATTGAAGCAGAATGAAAAGCACACCTGCTCTGTACCTCATCAAGTACACTCACATACCAAAAATATGCTCAATAAAACTCAATATTCATGAGCATATTTAGAAAAAAGTGCAGAAAATCAAGTGGGACAGACAGCCGAACAACCGAGGAGGAAACTTACAGTCCCCTCCAGTTCACTGAAATAGGACTTATAATATGTCAGAATTGTGTATTTAAAGATTTTATAATCAAGAAAAAAAAGCCAATGCTCACTAGTAATACCCCCGCTCTGATGTGAATATACCCTCTTATGAATCCCACCATATGGCAGGCCTAAACAAAGATTGTGCTAAAATTTCAAGCATCAGCAATGAGTAATTGCTGAGAAAACTGTGACAGAAATTTGGTACAGACAGATGCATGGATAATCAGGAAGTTGAATTGGATTTAATGAAAATGAATCCCTTCATATGGCATGTCTAAACAAAGTGTGCTAAAATTTCAAGCAACTGAGTAGTTGCTGAGAAAACTGCGACGAAAAATTTGGTACAGACAGACGCACAGCAAAACAGGAAGTTGACGTCAGACTTGTACAAAAATGACTCCCACCAATCCATATGGCATGCCTAGACAAAGAGTGTGTTAAAATTTCAAGCAACTGCAATGAGTAGTTGCTGAGAAAACTGCGACAAAAATTTATTAAGGACAAACACACAGATAGACACACGGACACACAGACAGCTAGACACACAAGGGTAAAACAGTACATCCCCCTCTCCTTCGGAGCAAGGATATAATTATTTCATGACACTTTTAAAAAAAATAAAATATAATTTACAATATACATATATATTTTCATTTTGTTTTTTCCTAATGAAAACCTGAAAAGTCTCTCCTCTAAGAATTCCCTATTGATCTGTAACTAACTTTGTTTTCTTGCTAGAAAAAAAATTCAGAGAGTTCAGAGCTCTTTCTAACCAGCATCTAAATGCTTATTCAGCACAAGTCTTTATGTGAAATCAATGAGATCCACCTTCTCTTATTCAGGAGGTTTTTTCCCCAATGCTGAGGATGGGTTTTTAAAGCTAGAGAGTAATTGAGTTAATGACACTGCGGTGTATCCCATTACCGTGGCCAGTAATTTAACCATGGTCTGAAATATACATGTACCAGCCTTCTGAACTCTGTCTGTCACATGGTGTTTTTTAAAAATACCACATGTTTAGTGGTAATTTTTTTTTTACATATGTCTTTTGACAATGTTTTTTATATGTAAAAATGTGCATATTACTGTACCCCTATCATCAAATTTCTGTTGAACAGTAACAAGTAATATAATATTGAATGCATATCATGTATGTCCCAGAACTAAGCACTTGATGCCAAGTTATTTTAATAACTAATTTAATGACATTTACAGATACAATTTTAATAAGTTTAAATATTTTTTTAAAAGAAACCCTAAAATCTTTCAATAAAATGAAATTATCTCAGGCAGAACCACAATATATTTACATCCACTGAATATTTTCTTCTATATTTCTTATGAAAACTACTTTCCTTAATCAATCTATTAACTCTAACATACCCTTGGTAGTTAGAACAGTTTATTTAAAGCCATCTGTGTGAAATTTTTTTAACAGTGGACTAGCTGGGCTCTTCCATCAAAGAAATATAAGTTATTATCAATAATATTCTGACTTATAGATCAATAAGTTACACAATATTTTATGTATGTAAACCTACTTTACATGATTATTTATACAATGAAATGTATTTTGTTGTTTGTTAATGCATGGTTGATGGTTGCAACCATTGCAGAAAAAAAATTCATAAACCACTTACACAGATTATGTATTTTTTTGGCAATGGCTGCAACTGTTACACGTAATTCCTGCATAAACAAAGAAAGAAAGCATCTATTCTCAATGAGCATGCATACTTTCTCATACTTTATAATTTTCCTCTTTGTAACTGATCATTATTTTTTAAACTCTGAAGTTTAACACTCATCATCTCTCTGAATACATAGTTTTTCTGACTCATTCAACTGTGATATGTCTGTTTAGTATTCATACTATTTAATTTATCTCCCCAATATTTAAGGATATATATGATGATTTCTCAAATAAAATAACTAACTGCTCATAGTCATAGTATTGTTGTCTTCTAGTTTTTGATTGGCTCTTACTTATGATATCTGTTTCATCTATGATCTCTGATTGGATGATTTCCTCGATGACATCCTCCAAAGTTAAAACACCCAGGGTTTCGTAGTAAGGATCCCCGTCTCCTTCATTATTAACCCTCCTTACTATTGCCATATGGGAGTGACCTGTGACAAAAAAGAACACACATCTGAGTGACATCGCTTCATACATGTATTTACAAAACTTTTCTAGCTTACATTACTCTCTATCAGTTTGGACATCCAAGTTATATCCTTTTGTATTACTTTAGTTGAGCTGCTAAATTTAATACTGTAGATATACTTTTTTTCTGCATGAGATTTATTTATAATATAATTTAGGATATGTGTCATAGATTTTCCATGGAAATATGTCTCAGCATATTTTACGTACATCTTAGACACACAATGGCAGTCCAAGAAATCGGAGTAATTTTCTACCCTCAGATTGAATAGACAATTGATTCCGTGGAATAATGACCTCTTGGGAAAAAAGTATATTTAAGGTATACAAATAATGACTGCCAAATCCTTAAATTATATTTTTTCTTCTTGACATCTTACATCATTTACTAGAATATTCATATGGCCTGAGGAAAGTCCATAAATCTTGACAAACAGAAAATACACACAAAAAGTCAAAGAGCACACACACAGAGAGAGATAACACCTTAAAAAAAAAGCTTAAACAAAATTAAGTTTCAAAACTATGATTGTCTTATGGACCTGTAATTTTTTCTACTTTGAGGAGGAAAGTGGGAATCTAAGTAAACACCAATGACAATGTCAATAGTGTATGATTAATGAGTATATATAAATATGACACATCAAGTGCTTCAAAGATATTATAATAAGACAACAGGATACATCAAGTTAGGTTTAACAAGGTTCAAGTTGTGGAAGATAGATCATGTACAAGTATACAAAGGCTAAAAGTGTAATGATAACACTAATTACAATCATTGTGCAATATAGGGCAAAGTGTAATAGCAAAGATAGGAAGTGTTAACTTCAACATATTTTAGAAAAACTTCTGAAATTGATACTTAGATCTATAATCTTGTAATCAAACTGTATCCATTAATATGAAAATCATACACTATTGTAAGTTTTTATCAATAGGCATCTTAATTTATTGAGAATGACCTAAATCCTTGAAAATAATCAAGGTGGAACTATTAATGCTTTAGAACAAGTAGATCATGTAGAAGATGACTATTCTCAAAATTAAGTAGACTATTAACCGTGCTTTGATATACTTTGCTTGAAATCCAACTTCATGTCTAATTCTTAACTATAAGCAATAACAGAACAAGTGCTACTGGCCATGTATCAAAGTAGATGTATTGTTTGTACATGCCATTGACATTGTACATACCGGTAACAGAAAATATCACCAAGACTATAATCTAAGCTATATACATGTACATGTACATGTATATATTATATAAATCTATAATATATTCTTTGTATAGTGTTGATATTTCTTCTATTAAAATTGTTATCATGGTTATGTACAGTGCTCATGCATTTACATATAAGTATTCTGCAGTGATATAGCATTAAAAAAATTCCTGTCACCTGCACACGTCAAACTTGAAAGTATTTTGCAGGACATAAATTTTTACTGAATGTTTAATTATCATTTTATGTCATACTGTAAAAATTTGATTTCAAGGTAAGTCAACAAGTTTTGTACACTGCTAATCATGTGATCTGATTTTAGAATCAAGATGAACATGCATGATTTCCTTAATCATGTTTATAAATATTATCAAATTAAAATACTGCAACAATAAACATGACGTACTTGTCATATCACAAGATCACAAGGTACAAATTTACTATTCGCTAAAGCCTATCATAAAACTACTACACTGCAAAAAGAATTAAATTGTAGGAGTATCAGTATGTGTATGTAAATATTTATAAGAATATTTTCAAACAATTTCATCATGTTCATGTCCACTACAACACAGATGGGGGCATTAAAATATTTAAGCAAGAAACACAGTAACTGACACTGACAAATGTTGCTGTTTCATTTACAGTATGTAAAATAATTATAAAGAACATAAACTTAATGCTGCATATGTTTGACTTTACACATTACACAATCAGTTAAAGTAATATAAAAAGTTGTGTTCTGCATGACATACTGAAAAACGACTCTCTGACTTTCAGTAATTAACACACCCCCTTTGCATAAATTAAGCCGACAAACATGTTGAGATGAAATATTAATTAATTTAGAACTAACTGTAAACATGGCAAAAACTAAAATTTAATAATTCTAAAAACTAACACAATTTAATTCCTACATTTCATACAAGAGAATGTGTACTGCTATCAGACCATAATTCTCAGCTTACAAATCTTTAAAAGGATTCAATTGTTCAAAATGCTAAGTGATTTTTTTGTAACAAGGGGAAACTTATTTATAATAATATATATTTTACTACAAGAAGCATGCTTTCTTAATTTACCTTGACGGAATTCGTGCAGCATGGTGTCAAGTTTCTGATCATCAAACACAAAAATGAGTGGATGCTGATAAAATTTGATCACAGTTCGTATTGGTGTTTTATCATCAGGATCAATCAATGCCAAATCTTTGATGTTAAGAAGGGCTACTATATTTCCTTGCTCACCCTCATAAATAGGAATACGTGTATATCCACGTTTCATTATTTCTGACACAGTTTCAAAGTCTAATATGCTATTGATGTCAAGCATGAAAACATCTTCAATCTTTGTCATAACTTCGGTGACAGACTTTTTTGACAAGTCTAATGCCCCTGATATGATATTAACTTCATCATTCTTAAGATCATTGAACTCTTTTGTCACTTTCACCAGCTCTGATAGCTTTGCTCTATCATACACATTTCCAATTTCCTCCCCAAGGATTTTGTCTAATAACAAACTTATTGGAAAAGAAAGAGGAAAGGTCAGCAACATAAAAAGCCTTGTAATCCAAATGGTCCGAGCTCCTACAGCTAGTCCATGTCTAGAACATATGGCTTGAGGTATAATTTCACCACATATTACAATGCCCAAGGTTGCACCAATAACAGCATACAAACCATTAGAGAGGTCATCTAACAATATAGTAAGAGAGTTGTTGACAAGCACGTTTCCCAATAAAAGTGTACAAAGAAGGAAATTTCCCCTCTTACGCACAGGTTCAATAGCTTTTGCATACTTTTTCTCTGAACTTGATCCACATTTTGCAATAAGCTTCAGTTCAGTTTTATCTAATGCCATTAAACCTAAATTTAATCCACTGAATAAACCTGAAAGTGTTAACAAGAAACAAATAAAAATAATTTGTAGCCACAGAGGGAGAAGTGTGGTCTCCTTATCCTTGACAGCAAAACGAGTCAACGTTTCCTTTCCTCCATGTTCCCATTTCTCTACTCCTTCCACAGAATAGCATACGTGATAGTACGTTTTTCCATTTTCTGGAAGAGGTAAATTAACTATAACAGTTGCCAACGTCCCATTTTGTGCAATAGAAAGTATTGCAAAAGTCTGTGATCTCTGTCCATCACATGTTTCCCTCTGCGAACGAACATCGGTCGTGAAAGCTATTCTGCTTGTGTTGGCAAAGTTGCTCCCGACTAGCACAATTCGTTGGTTTGTCCCAGCGGTCAAAACAAGAGACCCAGTCTCATCCCTGGTACTGACAGCTTCCTGGGACAAAATCGCAGATAACTGCGGTAGATCTACACCGAGAATAACTTTAAAATTTAACAAGAAGAAAAACTTGCAGAAAAACCTGACATATCGAGGAGCCATCTTATTATAACAGGAAGTTGTGTAAAAGAGAAGTTTGCAATCGATAGTGACTTTCTAATCCCGGATTTTTATCCCTTCAAAATATTTTAAGGGGATCTAACACTCTGATAAGAGAGATAACTTCCCAACTAAATATATTTTCCCTTGTTTTGATATAATTTTATTTGACTTAAAAACTTTGCATCCAGATTAAATTGACACAGTTCTATATATTTTTTGAAATATTTTTTAAAAACTGCAGTAATGCATCACGTACAACTTTAAATAGTATTTGTATTAGTCGTGCAATTTTTTTTCCTAGTTAAAAATATTTTAACATAACTTGTTGATGAATGCATTTTTTTATAAGCACAGATAACAATGTGATATTCTGACTCAAAAAGAAGCGCATTATTATATTTTCTAAAAATATGAATTTAATATATGTCTGACACTATATAAATATGATTTCATACGAGTATGTACCTCATAATCAATTTTTTTCTTGTGATAATAAAATATTGCACTTCCTATTCTCGGTGTCAAACTTTCTCCATGTCATGGTCAGACATAAAAATTCATTTCTGAGAAAATAAGCACCTCCTCATATTGGACAGTCATTATATGGATAAAAACAACTACACATTGAAGACGATTAGAATTTTATATTTAGACTGTAATGTGATGTGACTATCACGTGGTTTTAGCAAATGTACCTGCAGCATTCGTCTGTAAATTTTGATATTGCAAAGGTTTATTCAAATTAAAATTTTAAGTTTAATTTATAAATATCTTCATAGGCCCTAACCTATGTAGTTTATGAAAAATACTGCAAACTTACTCATATTGTACTACTTGTTAAAATCTTTCCCATTTCAAATGCTCGGAAAAATGCCAAAAATTAAGCAAACGTCTCAAGTTGAAATTTTCAAAATGAAAATATAATAGATAGTGAATTAAAATATGATGATGTTACATTGTTTCTTAAAAATGTGGTATCAATTTCAGAATGTCTTACAACAATACACGAGTTTTCTAACTAGGCTGGATTGAAGTTGAATATAGATAAAACTGAATGCATATTGACAGGGGCATTGAGTCATATCAGAGACAAAATAGAAGGTATAAAAGTTAATACTTCACCATTTAAATGTTTGGGCATATACATAGGTAAAAATAAAAAGGAATGCTACAGAAACAAGAGGCCCAAGGCCCTTAACGGTCACCTGAGTATAATACAACACTGTAAAGGATCCATAGAAGTAAAAAATAAAATTAACTGATAGACGAAGCAATGTTGCCCAAGAGTTTCAAGACGCTGGTAAAAATACCCTTGCTTATTGTAATGTGATAGACCCGAGTGATCTCCTTGGGATCATACTTGGTTTTCCCAAGTCTTACAGGGATGATATTGAATGCAAAATATACAAATACAATGGACTCTTGCCTATTGTGTAAGGTATTCAATATATATGGATACATTGACTGTATATAATTGTCACTTGCCTAGTGCTACAATTCAGTACACACAGACTTGGGTATAAAACGTGGCTATTTGCCTCTTGTCACTATATTACAATAAGTCACCCTGGCTCTTTGTGATTCTTTGTTCACTTTGAAAAAGTACAAAACAACATTATCCAGTCTCTTGTCAACCATGACTCTACAAGTGACAATAACTCATCTGCTGCCAAACAGCTCACCACAGTGTAAGCATACTGTATATAATTACAACTTCTGCTAAATATATAAATAATCTTTATGTCAATCTTTTATATTGCTTTCCAGGCAAGAATCTGACTTTGAGCATGCTTTGCTCATTTAAACCATACATTCATTTTCATTTTGTTTCTATATATATATATATATATATATATATATATATATATATATATATATATATATATATATATATATATATATATATATATATATATATATATATAACATTTTTTCTTGTATTCTCATACAATCAAATAACCTTTTAATTAAATTATAAACAAGGATTTCTGGATTAACAACATCTAGCAAAGGGGAGTAACTCTCATTTGCTTCACGTAATACAATTGTGTACTCTGTTTGCAAAGAAAAGGCACATATACTTATAATTATATTTAATACATTTACATTGATATTATTGCATTTAGTTTGTTTGCTTAGTACTCAGGGGCAGAGGAGAAGATTTTCAAAGCATTAATGCATTTCTGCTTATTAATCAATAGAGCCCAACATAAGCATAAGAACCCCTGACCCAGGGGCCATTAAATTCACAATTTTGGAAGAGGCACCCTTTCTCATTATAACTATGCATTTAGTTTGTTTGCTTAATACCAAAGGGCAGTGGAGAAGATTTTCAAAGCATTAATTTATTTTCAGTATATAATAAATAACCCCCCCCCCAGAACCCTTGACCCAGGGGCCATGAAATTCACAATTTAGGAAGAGGAACTCTTCCTCATCATAACTATGTACTTAGTTCATCGGCTGAATACCCAGGAGCAGAGGAGAAGATTTTCAAAGAATTAATGCATTTTCACTTTATAATCATTAGAGCCCCACACTAACACCAGAACCCCTGACCCAGGGGCCATGAAATTCACAATTTAGGAAGAGGCACTCTTGCTCATCATAACTATGTACTTAGTTCATCGGCTTAATACCTAGGAGCAGAGGAGAAGATTTTCAAAGAATTAATGCATTTTCACTATATAATAATTAAAGCTCCACCCTAACACCAGAACCTCTGACCCAGGGGCCATGAAATTCACAATTTTGGAAGAGGCACTCTTGCTTATTAAAGGCACTCTTGCTTATTATAACTATGTCTATGTACCTAGTTCATCGGCTAAATACCCAGAACCACAGGAGAAGATTTTTAAAGAATTAATGCATTTTCTCTATATAATCATTAGAGCCCCGCCCTAACGCCAGAACCCCTGACCCTGGGGCCACGAATTTCACAATTTTGGTAGAGGGCTCAATGCTTATTACAATCATGCCGACAGTTTGACGGCTTGATGTCCAGGAGTAAAGAAGAAGATTTTTAAAGATTGCATCAATTTTGATGGTTTTAGCCTCACCCCTCAGGCCCCCCGGGGGGGGGGGGGAGGGGGGCAGGGGCCATGAATTTCACAATTTTTACTCCCCTTCACCCATAAATGCTATATGCCAAAATTGGTTGAAACTGGTTCAGTGGTTTCCAGAGAAGAAGCTAAAAATGCATGTTCAAAAGTTTACGACCGACGGACGACGCACGACGGACGAAAACAGATAGCAATAGGTCACCCGAGTGACTCAGGTGACCTAAAACTTGGATTGATAAATTTGAAAATATGCAAAAACTCTTTAAATCATGGATAAAAAGAAAACGTACAATTTTTGGTGAGACTTAAATCATAAACAGTTTAGGTATGAGTAAATTTATCTATGTTGTGTCTTACCTATTCCGCGAGAAAACGAATTATAAAATAAGTAAATTAATATTCTGCTTCCTTTGGGATTCCAGAGACAGAATTAAGCGAAATACATTAATTGGCAAAATACAGGAAGGGGGGATTGGAGTAGTAGAATACTTACCAATTCCAAGCATTAAAAACTGATGGATACCACGCCTCATAAATAATGCTAATCACAACTCTATGCTTTCCCACCTTGACAATTTATTAGGGGTGTGTAATGTAAATTTTGAATATATATTAAAAACCAACAGTACTGGTTTAAATGACTTTGACTTCTTTAAAAGACTGCCTTTGTTCTATAAAGAAATCTTTATTTATTTCAATCAATGTAAAAACTTCCCGACATAAAGAAAATGAATATAAACGAAAATTTACAAGAATAGACTCTTTTTGTTTAAGGGGAAAACGGTATTCTTTAAAAATTGGATTAAAAATATAAAATATAGGCCATAGCAAGAGACTTAAGCTTCTTTTCATGAAGAAGATTTTGAAAAAATTCCGCTTCATTAGATCAAAAACAGACCACTTACAAAGAGGCATATTAAGTTTCCATGTAAATTGCAACACATTGTTGGAAAACCAGTTTTCCGAAGACTACATGAGAAAAGTGAACAAGGAACTCTAGAATCTTTTAAATATCAACCCCCAAGAACTTGTGTTTAGAATCAGAATGGTTTTTATAGTATTTAATTTGTAGATATCCAATCACATCTGATGAAAATTTCCAGGTTCAATTATTATCAAAGAAGGTACCCAAAGCTTGTCTTTAATTTGTGAGGAATGGCTGTATAAGGTACGTGGTGTGAAAAGTTATAAGTATAGATGCTTCTGATTTTATCGAAATATTTTCTTAACGTTCTTATGAGGATTTTGTATCCATATTTGATTAACATCTGCTTTGGAATATGTTGCACAAAACTGTTACTTAAAGTTTTTCCTTCACTGATTTTAATACTACTTTCGTGAAGAGTTAAGAGAAAGGCTTGGTAGAAGATTTACTACATCCTCTTCTTCAATCAAATTCAATTCGGTTGTTGGGATTATGAAAGTATCTAAAACTGAGATATAATTTTGAAGATTCACTTCCTTTGAAGGGGAACCCTGAGTTTCTTAAAGTTGGATTACCACTTTTAGTGTAAATCCAAGTTTCTCTAAAATGCAATTGTATTAATGAGTTTTACATAAAGACTATGTTGTTACATGTTTCTAGCTGGAACAAGTACATTATGACCATATAATATTTCTATTCATTATTCAGATAGAAAGCCATTTCAGTATGGGAGGTACAACCAATCAAAATCCTTGACAAGCAAAACAAATCAAAAAAAAAAGGTTAGACTTTTTTGAGGGTGCACAAGCACAAGGTATACTGTATATATATATATATATATATATATATATATATATATATATATATATATATATATATATATATATATATATATATATATCGGCAAAATTAAGGTAGGGGAACATCATATAACAGAGAATATGCAAGCAGAGCGATTGCTATTCATTACGCCATGTTCACTGAATATCGTTGTTTATTACTTATATTTGCATTAGCGTATGCGCTTAAAAACAGAATACATTAAAAAGCTTCCTTTTTTTTTTTTGGCTAGGAATGAGGACCAATATTGACGATTTTTCTGCATGCTTTCAATATTCTACACCATAGATTCACATGATTCCCCCTCAAGTCAGAGTAAAGCAGAGACGGATCCTGAACACACGCCCAAGATTCTCCCATTCTGTAGGAAACAGGCTCCAGGACAGACGCAACGAAAGTTATCCACCCACTATCTGTAAGTAATACAAGATGTAAAGACTGTGTGTTGTTTTATGTTTAATTTTCGAGTAAATATTTACAGTGTATTCATATTATAGATTTAAGAATGTCAAATTATTAACAGTATACTATATACAGGGATTGATGTTGTTACAATGAATAACATGGTATGTTGTAAAATAATGAACCTAACAGAGAGAAATTAATTATTACTTTCAGCAAATATTAAGACTTAAATTTCTCTTCATTCACAAGCATAATGCTAAAATAAATCGTTTTAATGCCAGTATCGCATGACATGCTACAACTCAAATATGATGATAGTATCTGTCGGACTTTATGACCGAGCTTCTTCAGGAACTGATAAATCTAAAAAAAAAAATTGAATTGATAATAATTGTCTAAAATTCATCATGTTGGGAATAATTTTTTATAGAATCTTGTGCTTTTGCAACTTAAAGCGATGAGCTGTATTGTTACACGAGTGGAAAGGATACACATCCTAACTTTTCTCACTAAGACTTTGAACGTTTTCACTAAGTACATATACGTACCGCTTGTCTCCTGTATTAGCATTTCTCTTTTCAGTGTAACACGATCATGTAACTTTCCAGCTTCAGTTGGACGCTTTCTAATTGGTTTGTAAGTAACAAATGAAATTACCGCCCCTCCCTTCCTCCTCCCTCTCTTTCTATATATATATATACTTACATTTGCATTTCTTTGAAGAGGATATGCGGATAATTAAAATAATATGATGGCTACGCACGCAAACACGTACCTACACGCGCAAAAACGAGTTTAAAATATAAATTTGAAATTCGTAAAAGCTGTATCACTATCCAGACAATAATCAACTAAAATATTGACGATGTATTTCTTATTGAAAAGAAATTCACTGCATACCTGGGCATTTTACTATCATGCAGGCTTTCGTTTCAATTTTCTCGGATTCACCCACACAAGATCTTCCTTGATTTCCTGAAATCGAGTTTTTGCACGTCCGTGTTCTGGTTTGGGTTCCTTTGTTGCATGTTTGACTACATTCTGACCACTCTCCCCCTGAAGTGACCGAAGGCCATTCACCTTTATCTGCACTCATATATCAAAGGAAAGAAAAATTACATAAGATGGGCTTCAATTACCATTATAAGTTGTAGCATACAATTTGAATAGATATTCCTTATGTAGCTTTCAAACATTATAAATATTACCTTGACAGTTGTTTTCCCATCACATTTAAATGAATTATATTATTAAGATAGCATAGATGAAACTTAATGTTGATTTGAAGTCGGATGTAATGATGTGAAAAGTGATCATAAATTCTATAAACGGTACGAATCGTAAACAGGACAAAAAAGACCCCTGGGAACACCAGAAATCGGATCAAGTGACTAGTAGGGGTAAGCATTCCCTGTAACACCCACCGTGAGCTATAAGTATAGAACAAGTAAATTAAGTTATCCGTGGTCAAAAAGTTTATTTAAAAAATAGCCTAATAATTGGGAAAAAAACACATCAGTAACAATACGAACTGTCAATAGGTTGTATTTGCAAACAAGGTTATTATAACGACCATAGAATTTGAAAAAATGCTGATTGTTGAAAGCCATGTAACATCAACTTAGTTGTCAGCAACCTGCCTCGGTTTCAGGGCATGGTCTTGCGGACCAAATCACTTAGGAGAAATAAACACCGTTCGCAGGTGATGGTGGAATATTACTACAAAAAGGGGAAGTTGACGGTGGAAAAGCTGTAGTCATCTGAGTTTTATTTAATTTCTCTAACATCAAAATTAATAATATTCTATTTAGCCGATACAGCAAATTAAATTTGCCTTTCATGCAGAAGAAGAAATGACTATTTTTGTTGTAATATATGCGTTTGTTCTTTTACTAATTGAACATTTTCAGAACCTTTAAAAGTCTAATATATGCATCCTCACAATGTCAAGGTTTTGTGATTTCGGAACTCCACACAAACCCTTGACATAAGTCGTTATTTAAAAGTTAGGCTTGTTGTTGCGCATGACGTAATGAGTAATTATAAACTAACCGATGAGAATATATTTTTCAAATCCGTCATTATCAAATTTCCCAACTCCAGAGCATATCTTTTGTGATTGTATATGTTGTAAGGAGGACGATCTTCAAAAAAATTAATCCCCGATGTTTCATGTACAGTAACTAGTCGCAAATCCTACAATATTGGCACGTTCCATTTTAAAGATGAGTCATATTTTGTTTTTATAAAACTTACCTACAGTAAAAGCTGTTTTCTGATTGGTTCCAATCCTAGACCAGGAACAAATGAAATAGTAGCTTTCTAGACCAACTTTTAAATAACGACTTATGTCAAGGGTTTGTGTGGAGTTCCGAAATCACAAAACCTTGACATTGTGAGTATGAATATATGCATTAAGATATTGAATGCTTAGTGACAAGCTCTTGATATTAAGAAAGATGTAGAAAAAGGTAAAATGTATATAAAAATTGTATATTTATAATCGTAAAGTAATTATATCCAATTACAAAGAATGGCTAGATAGGATTTGTTCAATTTATCATGCTGTACTAAAGGGGAATTCAAATAAAATTCATTTTTTAAGTTTATTATCATTTAAAATGATGATTGCCCACCTGGACACTGTCTATCTTTACAGATCTTTGTCTCTGTTTTGACTTCATTTCCGACACATAACTTTCCACCATACTGAGGCTTGGGATTAGAACATCTTCTGGACAAGGTACGAGTTGCCGTTCCTTCTCCACACGACACAGAGCAGGTCCAATTAACAGAGACAAAATATGGTGTCCAGTTACCATCAACTTGAAATAAACAATTTACTATCATCTTGAAGTAAAACCAGTTAGTTATTCATCAGCTCTACATTACAATTTACCAGTGATTTACTAGTGATTAAAAATATCAACTAAGTCAACAGAATCTGATATATTTACCATGTAAATATGTATTTTGTTTGACTCCAAGGTCTGGCGAATGATTTCCCCTGCCGAATATGTAGCAGAGCAGTTTTAGCATCATCATATTATTTTCACATGTATTTTCAATATTTGTATACCTGGACACTCCCTGACTTTACAAGAACTAGTTTCTCTCCTGGAAGCAGGCCCTTGACACTGTTGTCCTCCATTTTTGGGGACTGGATCTGTACACTTTCGGGTCTGAATCCTCGCTTTGTTCCCTGTACCACATGTTTTGTCACAATTGGACCAAGTTGACCAATGTTTGTAGTCTGTCCATTCTCCTTGAACTAGTAGGCAAAAAAATACACTCAATTAAATGTATTGAAGAAAATACATTATATTGACAATATTGACGAGTTCCATCCATCATCAACTATTTTAATCAAAATCTAATCACCCCAAAAGCAATCTATGTAGTATATGCCTATTAATAATCTATTATACAATGGAATAATGTAGCGATATTAAAAAAAATTACCATAAAGAAATAGTAAAAAGAAATTGGTAAGATTAATGTAATTTTGTGTGAAATTGAGATTTACGTGGACATTCTCTATCTTCACAGATTTTGGTCTCCTTTTTTCTGTAATTGCCGACACAATTCTTTCCACCATACCGAGGCTTGGGATTAGAACAACTGCTGAACAAGATACGAGTTGCCGTTCCTGCTCCACATGACGTGGAACATGAGGTCCAATTAACAGTAACTATATAGGGCGTCCAGTTACCATCACTGGCGGATTTAAGGGGGGGGGGGGCGTTTGGGGCGCACGCCCCCCTAAAATTTTCAAACTATGATATGAATAATATTAATAATGCCATACTTAAGTATATAACTAACCAATACCACTATTTTTGTGCCTGGTTTTACTCTTAAAATACACGAAAACCCAGGAGCTTCCGGGGGCTTCGCCCCCTGGGCCCCCTCTATTCAAAGTATGATATGATTAGTATTAATAATACCAAACTTTGGTACATATAAACTAACCAATACCACTATTATTGTGCCTGGTTTTACTCTTAAAATACACGAAAACCCAGGAGCCCCTGGGCCCCCACCAGGGCTTCGCCCTGGACCCACTGGGGGCCTTAAGGCGGCCCCCAGACCCCCTGCCTGAACGAAGTCATCCACGCTCCCCCCCCCCCCCCCAATCACAAATCCTGTATCCGCCCATGACCATCAACTGAATGTAAAATTTTAAAGGCCATATAACATATAACATTTGCGGTTATTACAAATTCATTAGAAGAGATAATATACGAAAATATCATGGTTTGGGGGATATGTATTTTCCATTTGTAATTATAAATGCTTGCAAATTTCAAATTTTTTTTTTAGATATTGATTCACTTTAAATAAATGAATATTTTTTTGTACTTGGACACTCCCTGACTTTACAGGAAACCAATCCTTTGTCGATAGTGGAACCTGGACATAGTTTGCCCCCATACTTTGGAGTTGGATTGGTACACGTTCGTGTTCGAGTCTTTGTTCTAAAGCCATTACCGCACGTTTTGTCACAACTAGACCAAGCTGACCAAGGTCTATAGTCTGCCCATTTTCCGTCAACTTTGGTAGAAATAAAGGGCAGATTGAATGTACAGATTAAACTTTTTGAAATAAGTTTCAAAATCTTTTTTCATGACAGACAATTAAAAGTACGTCTTATAACCTTTGGAGATATCAAGCCTTCTTGTTTAGATAATTTTTCATCCTTAGACAAATTCAATTTAGCGAAATATGTGCATAAATGCCTTAATTTATCATCAAATTGTTCGTATGTAAATCACAATAAATAACTGTCATTAAATATTCATGTGTACTTGGACACTCCCTGATTTTACAGGAATCCAATCCTCTATTGTCAGTGGAACCTGGACAGAGTTTGCCCCCATACTTTGGAGTTGGATCGGTACACGTTCGTGTTCGAGTCCTTGTTCTGAAGCCATTACCGCACGTTTTGTCACAACCAGACCAAGATGACCAAGGTCTATAGTCTGCCCATTTTCCATCAACTTTGGTAGAAATAGAAGGCAGATTGACTGTACAGATTTGACAATTAGAACATTTTTTATTATATAAAATACATAATTTGATTTGGTTGCAGACAATGTCTTTATAAGCCTTTTCCTTAATGTACAGATTAAACTTTTCGAAATTTGCTACAAAATTTATGTTCATGACGAACAATCAAGTACCAAGCCATGTAAAAATCAGGAAGATGGTGATACAAGGAAATTCATAGAATTGTATGATAAAAGATTACATTGACTTAAGCACTGAATTCTTATTTTTGGATGTCTTAGCGCGGTATGATAAATTGTCGGCATGGACAGGTGCTGTTATAGGACCGACGACATCCAAAAATAATTCAAGGCTTATATTTACATTCTCTTATTTTCTCTCTTCGTAATTATTAATTTCGTTGATTTTTTTAAAAAGGAATTTAGGGTCTTTTAGAGCTCGTGTGCTTAGTAGACGTAAGAGCCGTTGTGACGTGGAAAGTTAAATAATAAAAAAATGACAAATCTATTTTAAACGTACAACTGCTTTATTTTTACAATAATTTAATGAGGAAAATTAATTGTCTTTTCTTTAATTAAACAAAAAATATATATTTGGTGTTCCTAGAGTATTGAAAATGCATATAGTTACTACTGTGTATTCTACCGCGCTGTGACAATGTTTCGTGTTTGTTTATAGGTATTGAACGTTATAGATTTCCAATGGATTTCATTAAGAAAATTACACTGAATGTAAATATTATGCAATGATTTCAGTTTTTAAAGTTGCACAATTAAAATGTTCAGTACTATAGTTCCCCAAAGATTCGCGTCACTTAAACCTAAACGTTGTGTTTATTAATATTTTATAAAGTATTATAAATATTTTTTTTTTCAGGCAAAAATTCAAAATGGATAGGGGTATTAGTATGTCAAATATTGTTGATAACATTAGATCATTGATGATTTTGTATTAGTTGTGACATTACAATTGGATCAACCCTCGTATTTATAAGCAAGATATATTTATCACGATTTCTGATTACTGTTTTACATATTGTAAGTCAAATTCACGGTGTTAAAATTTCACGATTTCTCAAAAAGTACCAATCGCGATGGTTTTAATTTCACGCTGCAAGAAATTAATTTGAAATTCGTATAAGCATTTAAACGTTTTCAAAAACTAATAATAGCATTCATAATGGGTTTAATTTCGCGGGAAAATGATGAATCGCGAACACAATGACTATTTGCCAATCTACAGTAATCTTTAAATATAAAATTATACGCAAAAGCGAAATTTTTGCGAGCGCACCGTCTCGCGTAATTATGCGAAAATATAATTCTTGCGATTAAAAGTGATTTACAATATAAATAAAATGAGTACTTGGACATTCCCGGAGTTTACAGGATCCTGATTCTAGCCTGATAGAGGATCCCATGCAGTGTTTGCCTCCAAACTTCGGGGCAGGGTTTGTACAGGTTCGGAATCGAGTCCTAGTTCTGATGCCAGTATTGCACGTTTTACTACAACTTGTCCAAGTGGACGGAGGTCTGTAGACTGACCACTCTCCATCAGCTTGTTGATAAATATATAAAGTTTAAACATAGATATAGGACTATTTCATACTACCAGATACATTTTTAAAATATGTGTATGAAACACAACAAAATATTATTAATTAGTGCATATGTACTTGGACACTCCTTTTCATTACAAGACTTAGATTCAGTGTCTTTGGAGGATCCCGAGCAGTGTTTGCCTCCATGTTTTGGTCTAGGGTCTGTACAGGATCGAGTTCGAGTCCTCCTTTTTGTGCCACTTCCGCATGTTTTGTCGCATTTGGACCACGTGGACCAAGAGGTATAGTCTGACCATTGTCCATCAACTGGTTAAATAAGGAATTATTGAGTGAATAAATCGCTTCACTTTTTTATCATTTACAGATATGAGAAACAATTACGATTTACGTAAGGTAGTCCTATAATTTTTGTCAAATATAGTTTTGAGAACAACCTAAAACAGCTGATTGTCTTTACATATTGAGTTTATGTTCTCAAGATTTTTTTAAGTTCATAAAATATGCTTTTGTTTTAAACTTTAATTCTCACAAAACATAATATTTTGTCCTGAAAATTATCTAATACCATGAATTCTAGTACTTTAAATAATCTTTGTAAATTCTTAGTCTAAGGGGTACATGAGGTACCTCTTAGAAAATATCTTTCAATTAAAAAACACACTTCTTAAATGAGGAATTGGATCAACTTTCAATGAAACACTTTTTACCTGGGCTACAAAGATAGGAGCAGCGTGAACTTTCCATTTTATAACCATCTCTAAGAATCAAAATAGAAATTGTCAGTATAGAAGAAATGTTTTCATTTTGACGCAAACCTTTGAAAATAGTAAATATATGAATATTTTTTCTTTGTTATGGATAGAATTTAAGTCAGTTCCTCTTTTGGAATATACGCTGTCATGACATTAAGCATCACAGTGTAAATTTCTCCCGTAATATTCTACTTTTTTTGTTTTTTAAATACGTACGAGTATCTCCTACACCGACTCAACCACAAGAAACCACACGAGTCAGAACCCGACACTGTATTGTAGTAAACTCTTTTATAGCACCATTTAAAACACACATTATCTTGGTAAGCACTGAAATTTTTATAAAAAAAATGTCCTTAAGTATCTCATCTAAAAAAGTGAAGTTTACTAATCTCATTATTAAATTCATGCAATGTTGCACACAAAACCCATATACATGCACCTGTACCTATATTTGGGATGTAATTTATAGAATACATGTAAGTGCATCTACTGATTTTTTTTTTTTTTTTTTTTTTTTTTTTTTTTTTTTTTGAGGTGATTTTAGAACTCGTCAGGTCATAATATGCAAGGCGAAGAAGCTATGCACGCATGCAAGAAGTATCAAATGCCCCTAGGTTAGTTATCATCCCCAGAAACAGCTAATTTTCCATATGTATATGTGTATGTTTAATTGGTGTCACACAATCCTTTCATATATCTACTACACGGATTGTACAGATTCGGCTGATAAGAGTTCTATTGATTGAAGGACCTTTTCTCTACTTTAATGATGCCTAATGATGATGCACACCTCCTGTAAATCAAACTTTGAGGAAATACCAGCTTACGCTATGTTTTTGTTAATTTTCTTTGAAAACATAAGGATTTTAATCATCTGATATCTTTCAAAATAACCATTGCAATGCATGCTGAATTGTTGTCTAGGAACATCTGTTGAAACATAATTTTAAATTAATCTTGAAAAAATATCAATCGGTGATTTACTTTTTAAAGTACATATTCATGTACATTACGTATGACCTGAAGAATCTAGATATTCAACGTACCTTCTTGGGTGTACACCAGTTGCCAAGACGCAACTCTTCGTGAGAATTACCAACAAAATGGTTGATTGCATCCTTATCTTTGTGATCACATACTTTGTAAAGAGAGAAATTTGAATCTTGCTGTTTAAATTTGAATTCACATATTTATTCGTAGAATTTTTTTTAAAATCATTTAAGAGACATGACCTATTTTTATTATATCTATCAGATAAAGAAAACGCTATTAACAATAGATATAAAATTTGGAAATCTTCCCAATTAATTTATTGTTTTATATTCATTTAATTGGAAATAAATCTATGGATGAAATAAAGCTCATTCCTATAAAAGCCAAATAAAAAATATTTAACTCGATATAACGAGTTAATTATCTGTCAGGAGCCTGCCTCGGATAAGAATTGTGTTCAGAGCATGCTTTTGAGTGCCAAATAAGTTGGGAGACGTAAAAACAATATACAAATGATAGCGGCATATTATAACATAATGAGAAAAGTTGGCCCTTATCGTCTATAGTCAGTAACACATCCAAATAGAAAACAGATATAGCCGACTCTGTGGTATGTTTTATTCAAGTCCATTGGGATAAATCGAGTCAACATATGAAAGGAAGTAACTATTATTAATTTAAAAACGTCATCGATTAATGATGGCCACCACAAGTGTTTTCTTCTTCTCATGTAGGAGTTTCTGAATAAATTCTGCTTCATAGGAATATAAAAACATGTCGGCTAAGAAAGGAGCACAATTAGTGCCTACCGAAATTCCAACAGTTTGTTGGAAGACTTGTTCTCCAAAGGCTACATAAGTGTTGTCAACGAGGAACTCAAGCATCCTTTTGATATCAACTTCAGGCTACTTGTGAGTAAAATTAGTGTGATTTTAACAAAGTAATTTTTATGACCAATCACAAGATACGAAAATTCCCCAGTTCCATTTTTATTGAAGACGTACTTGTCTATGATATTAAAAAGCCTTGTTTTTAATTTATTGTGAGGAATGGTTGTATAAAGTGTAGGAAAATCTGTAAAAAGTGTATAAGAAAATGTTATTGGATTTTGAAAATTTCGGTGATTTTAAATTTCTAAAGGTTCTTTGGAATTTTTTAAGAATCCAAATCTGATTTACACCACTCATAGAATATGCTATAGCACAGTACGTCTGAAGTTTCTCTTTAACAGCAATAATTATTTATGTGAAAAGTAAAGATAAGGGCTTGGTAGAGCATTTGCTGGATCCAGCAATATATCTCTGTTTGAAAGAATTTTTATAAAGTTCAGGAATCCAGCTTACGTAGGGCAGATCGATCTTACCTTAATTGACTTGAATTCATGTTAATAGTATTATAGATTGAAGCATTATTTTGAAGAATTCCATTCTTAGAAAGTGAACTGTGAGTATAAGTTGGATTTCCACACGCAGAATTAAAACCAAGTTCTTCTAAAATACAGTTATAATAATGAGCCTTACAAACAAAGACGAGATTGTTACAAGCCTTGTCTGCTGGAAGCTAACATATTGTTCATGTAGCCTTTCTATTTTTTTTTTTTATCACCTCCGATTTAGTGAAAACAAATTAGAAAATTATTTATTTACAAAAATCAACTCAGCACAGACACACAGACAAATATACTTTAAGTGAAATCACATGTATTGAAATATGGAGATAACGAACAGCAATCAAGCTTAACAGTCCAATGAAACAATACAAATCGGGAGCAGAGCAAATACGGGCCTCTAAAAAAAGATGGGATCAGGCGCCATGGAGGAGTAAGCATCCCCTGTTGACCTGTCACACCGTGTGCTCATTGTCATGATCGGGAAACTGAAAAATCCGTAGACAATTCAGTGTTTTAATAATGGCCTAACAATTAGTATGAAAAACGTCAGTCAGCATTCGACTTAATGAAAGATTGTATTCTCTGACAAGGCCAGCGTATCGATTATAGAACTTGCGAAATGATGACTTTAAACGAGACTGTTGATATCCTTGTTTCAACAACTTGTTTGTCAGTAGCTTGCCTCGTTTAAGAAATTGTTCGTACATGGAGCATGCTATTGCATCGAATCAACTGGGAGATATAAATCCCATATGCAGGTGTAAGGGAGATTGCTACATAAGTAAGGGTAGTTGACGATGGAAAAGTTAAAATCATCACGTTTATCAAAAGATTTGTTGTTAGGTTACAATTTATCTTTTTCTAGTAAAATATTCTTATATGAAACTGATGTGTCAGACTCTGTGGTATCTTTTTTTCAAGTTCACTGGTTAATTGGAGTTTGTGAAAAAAAAATAATTTCAATTGAATTTATTTCATATCAAGCTGAGCCTCCTTGAATGAAATTCCTACAAGTTACTTCGGTAATATCCAACCAAATTCTTTTGACAATCTTTCTCATTTAAAAGCATGACACCAGTCCAGTTTTTCTTTCTTTTATTGGATAACAAATCTATATTTTTGTAGCCTGAATGCACTGCACTGAAGAAAGTTTTTCATATACATTGTAAATTCAGTGCGTAATTGTGAAGTCCCACTTTGCCCAACAATCCACTGTATCTTGATTCTTCATGTATATAACATTGTATAACGTGAAGACAATTGAGCATTTTTTTTTTAAATTTTGTGTTTGTATTCTTGAAAAAAAGGTATGTATACATGTCATCTCTGTTGAATCCAGATAGGGCCACGTAGTTCACTATCGCACTATCAAGCATCGACTGTTGGGTCGATGGCGCTATGACAATGACGATGAGACGATGGTGCGATAACGATGAAACGATGGTGCGATAGCGCGATGAAAGATGCGATGGTGCGATAAAGCAATAACGACGGAGGGATGGAATGAGTGAGCGATATTGAATATTGCTTCATAATCATCGTATCACCGCTCAATCGTCATCGACCTATCTCGTCATCACTATTGTACCATCGCGCTATCGCTTCATCGTGCCATCGTACCATCGTCATCGCACTTTTGCATCATCTCTTCATCGACATAGCATTATTGCATCATAGCCCTCGATGGTGCGATGATGCAATAGTGAACTACATTGTCCTATCCGGATTCCATACTTCTCTATGTATTCCAGTGTTAAAATTTAAATTACTTTACTTTTGACCCACCATGGCCCTAGGAATTATGATTTAGATAAATTTTTAACTATTATATATATATAATAAATTTTATAACCAATTTCAGGCATGTTGTCCTCGGTGTGATGGCTGTTAAAAATTGAATCTACTCAATCCTAGAGAATACAATGTATTTTGTACATGCATATGTATTTTATGGAGAATCTGTCATAGCAATATGTCATTGTAACATTGCTATTTTTAAAAGGAATATTTTTGAAAATTTGACGCTATTTCTTTAAAAATTCTTGAATTTTAAAGAGATCAAAATAATTAATTTGAACAGATCTGAAATATTCTGAGAAGAGTGCTGTATACCAAGTTTTACTGAAATTAAAGGACAACGATTTGTTAAATGTTTACAGACAACATTCAAAGACGGAAAACTAATCAGAAATGCTCAATCAAGCTTTTGACTATCTTGAGTAAGGAATGTCAAATGAATTATAGTAATAGACTTTAAGGGTGCTATTTAAAAAAGATGATAGGAAAAAGATGGAGCATTTCAGCATATTATTGAGATGATCAGAAATTCAACCTTAACAGAGTTTTGAAGAAACATTGCCAATACAGGTTAACACTTAATTTCGTTCGAAACAGAGAATTCGTTATACCTTTTTTGAAAATCCCTTCATATTGCATGACGTATGGGTATCTTCCCTGCATCATTTTGTGCAACAGGACTGAACAAGCAAAAATTAGTCAAGACATTTGTAATCACTCGAGGACACAAAGCAAGGACAGATATAATTAAGCATTGAATTCTTATTTTTGAATGTCGTCTATCCTATAGCTATAACTGAATTCTGCACTTTTGTCGGCA